CGTCCCAATCGCCCTTAGTGAGTACCTACCCTTCTCCGACAATCCGTTCTTGAAATTCGTAATTATGAGCATGAGACTTTACTTTACTCGCTAAAGGGAGCGAATGAACCCACGACTTGCATCATTTTTATAAATAACATTTATTCTACAATCAAACATGAAATCAAACAATAAAATCCTACCTAACAGAAATTGGGCTACAGTGTCCGAATAAACAAATCCCGCATTTTGCGTTCAATTACAAAACATCAAACAACCACCAAGAGATCTGAAACTTACTTTCAGTTTACGAGTTACAATATCCCAATACAATCCGGACGCGTATATCATCGCCAGACAATACATTGGCAAATCGCAATACACCACCGGTATGCAGGTATGCTAGATCCAGGGACGAAAGCTCGTCGACTGTGCGCATGACGTCATCTGGGTCACATTTCTGGAGCAAACGTGGATTTAATAACATAGGGGAAAAAAATGTTAATGTTCGCGGGAGTTTAAATAGGTTGTAGTGGTAATCAAGTTAACTAATGCATAATTTAAAAAGCAATACACCTGGCAATACATTAACAGAAACACAAAGATAAGTAAAGATAATACTTATATTGATATTGATTAACAATAAATAAACATTTTACGAAAAAGGTATAATTATAGGCAAAAGCAAATGTTGAAACCATTTCATTGTTTACTAAATCTTTTTCTACGGATTTCATTTACCATTGCAAATATTTTACGTAACTCTGATTGAAGACTGTAAGACTGTTCAGTTTAAACCGAGGTTTAAACGCTTTATATTGATACATAAACACAAAACCCACACAGCTTTTAAACTATTTTACTGATTAATTAGTGCTTAATTGCATATTAAATGACTTGCCCACAAATGCTTCTATTTATCGGATTATTATTAGCAAATTAACGTTATTTCAGTAAAAAAAACAAAAAACCATTTTTTACATGTTCCATAATTTTACACTTTTGCCGTTGATTAACGATCCTAGAGATCGTTTATAATTTTGTATTGCTGTCTGTCGTCTGTATGTTGGTCTGTCCGTCTGTTCCTTTGTCTGTCTGCCAATCTATATGTCCGTGTGAACGCTAACTTTGTTTAGAAATGTCCGATCGCTTTGACATCTCCGTTAGTTATGAACTGGATTGCATGAAATTCAATATGGCATAGCTTTAGCCATATAATACGCAATGTCAAAAGTTGAGTCGAATCGATTCAAAATTCACAGGTACCCTTTTCACATCTCGACCATTTATAAACCGAATTGCAAACTTTTGTATTTATAAAAGTATTTAAATGAAATTTAATACATATAGGCACCTGGAATAAAGGAAAATGTAACGCCAGTTTCCAAATTTGGTTTTGCGCATGCGCAGTGCTAACTTCCTTATTTATGAAAGCATTGAAATGAAATTCTTCTTATAAACTGAAATTGAAGTAGCCCGTCAAAAATGGATTGCACCTACGCAACGCTATCTTTCATATTTGTGGCCGCATTTTTACGGTTTTAACAGAAGTTGCATATTAAAAATGGGAAATGAATGCAAGTGGAAATGCGCTTTATGTAAATCGTTTACGATTACTTTTTGAACTTGTTTATAATTATTTAGATCAGTGATCATGCCCATCTCATAAACGTAGGTACAAAATGGAAATATTTCATGTTGAGCGATTATAATAAATACGTATCGCTAATGACCAAAAGATGTAGCGTAGGTGTACTCATATTAGGCCGAATCGGTATGCCGAATTTTTTTAAAGAGACCATTCCTTAATTTTTGAAATACCTACACTAATGCTGGGGTACACTTGCAGTTTTGGAGCGTAATCCTGGCGCTAATTCCTAGCTCGACACGCCTGAGGGACCGTATGCTCGAGTACCTATTCCCGATAAATTTTGAACGTGATATATTTCGCATGAACATATCGCATGCGATAACCGTATCCTTCGATTTGGTATTCTAAACATGAAGTGATATCGAGCAAACGGGTATCGCACGTTAGGAGTGCAATCGTACCTCAATTCATAAAAGAGGCCAATCAGAACACAGCTTTTGATCATGTGGTGCTTTCCACGTGAATCATCATTACCCGGAGCACTGCTCATTTCATTACCAATTGGTTGTCTCGTATTTATCGCTGCGGTTTTTTTAATGGGAAACGATAAACGTCTTGCCTATGCCTCTGCGAAACAGAAAAACTTGTTGTTTGACCTAATGAAAGCCCGACCCGCATTGTGCAGTGGTAGTTTTTTTACCAATGCATTTAAAAAAAGATGGCAAAAAGAATGGCAATTAATTTCCGAAAGTTTGAATTCAATTTACGGTGGGAAGAACTAATAACTTCCAGAAGCAAAAAATGGGAGCGCCATTAAAAACTACAGAAATGAAAATAACATTTAACAACATAAAAGGTACCGCTCACTAGAGCGAAGCGCATGACAGCGGCAGCGCCGCGGAGCGCATTTCCGTACCTATACGCACATAGAGAGCGCTGCACCGAAGCGACGCGGCGCGGCACTCTGTCATCTGTTATCCGAATCTTCATTTAACAATTGTGTCCTCCGATGAAGAAGATGCGTTTATAATTTCCGCTTTATGCGAAGAAACAGAAAAAGGCCGCTTCGTTGCGCTGCCGATCGCTGCGCTTCCGACAAGTGTGCGCACTCTCTTTAAAACTATGTTTTAAATAAAATCCGTTCCGCTGCGCTTCGCTCTAATGATTGGTAACATTTAATAATAAATCTTTATTCAATGGTGGTACCCTTAACAACTCTTAAGGGCAGGATACGAATTAAAACAAGTTAAAAAGTGATCGTAAACGATTTACAAAAAGCGCATTTCCACTTGCATTCATTTCCCATTTGTAAGATGCAACTTCTGTTAAAATCGTAAAAATCCAGCCACAAATATGAAAGATAGCGTTGCAAATGTGCAATCCATTTTTGACGTGCTACTTCAATTTCAGTTTATGAGAAGAATTTCATTTCAATGCTTTTCTAAATAAGAAAGTTGGAACTGCGCATGCGCAAATATAAATTTTGGAACTAACGTTAGATTTTCCTTTGTTCCAAGCGCATATGTATCAAATTTCATTTAAATGCTTCCATAGATCAAAAAGTTGGCACTGCGCATGCTCAAAACCATATTTTGAAACTGGCGTTTGATTTTCATTTATTCCAAGTGCCTATGTATCAAATTTCATTCAAATACTTTTTTCTACAATCGATATCCAAAGTAGGCATTTGCGCTCGTATTTGACAACGCAAACGTCATAATTTTCGAGGAATGTCACTTTGTCGCTTATAAGCGACAAAATAGAAAAAACGCTCGCTCTCCCAATTATTAACTATAAATCAAATATGCATTGCTCAGAGTATCCAATGACAACGAGTAAATGACATCTTTCATTTGGGCATAAGATTAAAATGATTTGAGTGAAAAATTTAAATTTCTGGAAATATGTGAACTGCTCGATTGTAGAAAAAATCTTGTGTGTAATTCGAGCGCAAATTGATTGTCGATTTCAAGAGATTGCCGCGCTCCTTCGTCACGCGTCAACTGTCTCTTTCAATCGACAATATATCATTTTGCGCTCTTAATACACAAATAGCTATTATAAATAGAAAAGTTTGCAATTCGGTTTATAAATAGTCGAGATGCGAAAAGGGCACTGTGAATTTTGAATCAATTCGACTCAACTGTTGGCATTGCGTTGTATATGGCTAAAGCTATGCCCATATTGAATTTCATGCAATTCAGTAACTATAAACGGACATGTCAAAGCGATCGGACATTTCTAACCAAAGTTATCGTTCACAAGGAGAGATAGAAGGACAGACAGACAAAAGAACAGACGGACAGACCAACAAACAGACAACAGACAGCAATACAAAATTATAAACGATCTCTAGGATCGTTAATAAACGGCAAAAGTGTAAAATTATGGAACATGAAAAAAACGGTTTTTTGGTTTTTTTACAATAACTTTTTTAGCAATAAACGCAGAATTCCTTCCTTAGTGCAAGCTTCGACACCATAACGAACCAAATAGCGAAAAAAGTAGTACAATAGCTCTTAAGATAAAGAACTAGTAACGTCTCAACGAACAAGCGGACGGACGGACAAAGTGGCCACAATAGCGCATTTAATTTTTATTTTTGGGGAAATGCCCTAAAAAATTGAACCATTTCTGAAGTTAGGCAACCAACATCACTAATAGGTCAGCTATTAAACATCAGAGGTCGCAGCATGTTTTAAAATCCGTAAAATCCAAATAGTAAATAAATTGTGCTGCCACGTCGTGTCGAATGGGTACCTCGAGATTCAAATCTTTTTTAGCTTTAGAAAATCCTGCAAAGCGACAACTTGATAACTTAATTAAAAACCTTTACCTTTTTGGAGTTTTTCTTTGACCGCACGTGCACGGAGATGAAACGGATATCCGGTACCTATATGGTCAAATACCTGATAGTAACGCAATAACCAGTCGGATGCCGGATATTCAACAATTTCGATTGTCAACATTTGGGGATAACAAACGATTTCCGAGATCTGTAAATAGCCTGCCATCCAGGGTTACAGCTCGCAGAAGTAGGTACCTACAAGGACACTACACATGCTGTAACAGGAAACTTACTCTACTGCAACTTTCTCGTGATTCCTGTTTCGTATCTTGGTATTTTGTAGAACAGACCTGGGAAACTGTAGTAGTCATATCAACATCCAGCTGTTCGTAATGCAGAAGTGTGACATCAGATGAGATATTGAGGGGTATTGACATAGTAATTCCTCTATCTATGGTATCGACTATAGGATCCGCTTTTGGACACTTATATAGGTAAGTGTTTCACTTTTCACATGTTTAATAAGGTGAAAAATTGAACATTGCACAATAACCCATTTGGTACGATAGAAGTGGCAGCGTTTTCCCATATAAAAAAATGGAAGGAAGTCAATATTAACGACTTGTTAAACAATTCTGCAGGTGTTAAAACCAATAATTACAGTACTTTATTACATTCCAATTTTATGTACAGAATACAGGTAGTATTAGCTTTTGTCAGATACTGACTTCTTGAATTCATTTGCAATTTTTTTGATACTAGGCATCCTTTCTTTGAGTTGATCTTTTGCACTTTCAGCCTCGGAGCCTCCATTTAGCATGATGGTTACCAAATCTGGAACAATATTAATAAATCACGAAATTATTGCCTAGTTACCCACCATGATACGAAGAGAGTTCTGAAAATTGGTCAGCGCCGAGATATTGCTTTAAATAAGTGAGAATAGATGAAACATGTCTTCCGCTTGCATGAAGCATGTTTTGTGTCACCGTCACAAAAATAATTAAACTCGCCAAATGTAAAGTCAATGCAGAATCATCACACTTATCTAATTGTTCGAGTAATGCGTGTTTATGATTTGAAATGACCAATTTATCCTTCTTCTTGTCAATTTTCTTTAAGATCATACTACACTCTGTTAAACAGATTTCAACAGCTGCAGTAAACTCTTCTACACTTTGATTCGAAAGCGTCTTCAGTAAATTTTGCAAAACATTTTTGTAATCAGGTGTTAAATCATTTATGAATTTAGTCCTTTGCTCGTTTGTCAGTTTCTCCGCTTCAACATTCAAACCCTTCTCAGAAGCCACATAGTTCAGAATCTCGTTAACAATATCCAAACAAATTGTTTTCAATAAATACTTATATAAATGAGTTTGTACCTCTATAGGAAAACATTTTAATCCTTTTTCAAATAATCGTACATCTCCAAGTAATGCGTTAACTTTATTTTGTACATCGTTATGGGTGTGACGTCGAGAAGCTGTTTGATCTGCTATGGTCGTTTCGTACAGTTTAGCAGCAGCTTCTAGCCCACTTTCATTTAATACTTGCAAGAGATAATTAACAATACTTTCTAGTATCTCACCTAAACCTTCTTCCTCAACTTTACTTTCGATTAACTTCTGAACATCACTCGCGGAAATAACTTCCAAAACTACCTTTTTTTCAGTTTTTTCAAAGTAATCATCCGAATCATCCTGAATGTTTTTAATCCGTGTAGGTTTCTTAGTTGACTTGGTTTTCGTTTCACGACCCTGTGCTCCACCACCGCTTTTGCCACTGGCCGCTTTCTTACGTCTCTCCTCTCGTTTATCCACCTTTACTTCTTCATCATCGCATTTGCTCGATTTGGTGGTTCTCACCTGCAAGTCTGTTAGATATTGTTGATAACTGCCAGATTTGACCACATCTCTCACTTTATCTTGCAGAAATCCCTCGCAATCTTTTGCCATGATATCGATAAAGGCCTTACTGATTAAGAAATTATCTAATATGACAATATTACGTTGTCTCTGTCCAGTAACCACTTTATCTATGATAATTTTGATGTCTTCGTCATCAAGTAAGTTTGGAAGACTACTTTGTAAATCCACAAATGATTTGCTACTTATACATTCTTCAAGATCTGCCTCGATTCTTTCGATAAGTTGAAAGGATATAATAGACGATTTAAGAGTCACAACATTTTCATTTGCAAAATGTTTCTTTAAATATCCTTTGTAATCTGTTATTCCTAAACGAATTAAAGCGTCAAATTCGAGATATCCATTTTGTTTAAAGAAATTTTGAACCCATTCATTTTGTGATCGTGAGTATACATTAGGTACATACTGTGCAGAAGTTGTACGTCCCGTTAAGAAGCCATACGTCGACAATTGATCGAAAAGAGAAAAAAATAACTTATCTGTTACTTCGATTTGGTTTAAAATTACAGAAACAACAGTGGGTTTAGTTAATGCCATCAGAGCTCCTCTAATCTTAGCTCTACTTCTCGAAATAAAAGATTCAGTAAAAAATATCTTTGGGTCACATTTATCTTGTTCGCCATGGATAAGCTTGCCTAAATATTTCTCGACAACGTTACGCTGTAAGAAGTCTGCAGGTAAATCGTATTGTATTGTTAAATCTCCAATATTTATTTGACCTTGTTGAATGAGTTTTTGATTTATTTCACCCGCTATTTTTATTATGTAAGATGTATCAATTAACTGACCAAGAATCGAATATATATCTTTACGTCCACGGGTCACCTCCGGTACATGGTTGGTAATGTGGCTTAGATCAACGCCAATCGTTTTTGATAATTCTACATAATTCACTCTTCCGCCACGTATATATAATTCTCCTAAAATATCCTGAACTAACTGCGATGAGGTCATGTACTCCTTTCCATCACTTGTAAATATCAGATCGATCAACTTTCGGTCTATTAACCATGACACAATTTCAATGCAATTCCTTTCGGATAACCTAAAAATGGACACAATTAATATAAACTTTTCAGAATTTCGCAGATATACCTTTGAGTAGTAGAACTTAGTTGAACCTTCTGAAAATCTGCTGCCAATCTTTTTACTTCTTCCCAACTAGCCATTGTCGTGTTTTTATTTTAGGATTTAAGCTGTGGATAAATTGTATGTGCAAATTTCAATGGAAAGATAGAGAAGCTAATTGTTTATGAAATATATAATTAATACTCCATCCTAACATATGGACACAAAGGTTATGAGTTTTTATGACATGTATTTAAAATGTCATGTTAAATGTCAGTGTCTAATGTCTCGACACATACTCTATAGTTTGTGATAATGTACAGTGCGTTTAGGAGTATATTTCCCAATGAGTTTACAAGGCTATATCACAAACTCGTTTACACCGTATGAACGTAGTGGTTAGTGGATGTATCCTCAGAGTAAGAAGTAACTGAGGATGTATCCGATTTTTGTAGATCCGGTCGAAATAATATGCGGCATAAACGTTGCGGGTTGAAATTCGTTCGGATACAATACTTCAACTCAATCTGACAAATTTAGAAGATTGAGTGCAACGCATCTACTACGGAATAGTTATGTCTATGGCCAAAACGAACAACTTTGAGACTAATTTGCGCGCCAAATGGGTACTCTTTTCCCATTGGTCAATTCGCCAACGGCGAACTCCGCCGAACTGCGGACATAAACTTAACCCATCTTTGAACGCGAGCGTAAATGAACGGAACGTGAACGGCAACGCGAGCGTTGATATAAATGCAAGGATTAATTTACTATTCGTTATCTTCAGTGAACTGCGAACTGCCAGCGCGAATGCTAGCGAAAAAGGCCTTAACTCACCCTCACTTATATTTTTGTTACATACACACTAGGTTAAAAGTTGTTATGGGACCATGTGGTATTTATAGCGCTCTAACAGTATGTTTAGTTAGTTATATAAAATATGTGGACACACTTCAAAAGAAGTTTTTTTCAATAATGGCAATCAGTCAAGTATCGACTTATGCATTCTGATTAAGGTTCAAAGGTCTCCAATTATTAGAAAGGAACGACATATAAATCAATCCACATTTTATTAAACATTTCAAAAAGACAAAGACAATTAATACAAACAAAAATATAACATTTTGGCTATAAGATAATAAAATCAGTATTGTATAAAATAGGTATACCGACTGGTGTCGCAAATACACTATTCATTTCAGTAAAATTACTCTATTCAAGAATACACAAAATGGATAGCAAAATTTATATAAATCGATCTACATGTGAATCTTTCATTGGAATCTACATATTGCAACAGGTTAGAAAACATTTTTTTCCTGTTTAATTTCCTCTACTGCAATGTCTTGGTATGAACACACAGAATGCAAAATAACAGTAGTACAAAAACCTACAGTTTGTGAATTCTAAATTGTATGATATGTGTACCTCTCTAAATGAAATGATCAAATTTATTTACGGCACATTAAAACCTACCATGCATTAATAACAAAATCTTAATTTTTGCGAGTACATTTTAAAATAATTGTATTAAAATTACAGAGGTAGTTGCATAGGATAAACTTAAAAACTATGCACTCGGAAGTAATTTTTGAACAATTTAATGTGTCCTTCAGAACAGTCACATCTAACATTTGTATAACAAAAATATAATGGGTATATTATATACTTTCGATAGCGTCTTAATATTTGTAATAATGGTTCTAATAGAGATATCTTCGTATTACTTTTTTTTACGGAAATATCGTTTATGAACAATTAATTTTATCCGAATATATACACATGATATTAGACAAAAATGAGATCACAGCAAGTGTTACAAACTAAGAAATAAAAGGAACACATTAAATACAGCAGACGAATTAATTGGAAGACTACTACTGGATGTCTCTTTAGGAAATGACAAATCATTTTCTGAAAAATGGTTATAAAAGTTGTGAACTAGCAACATCTCTTAACAAACCTTTACATTATGAAATAATAAAAATTCTAACTTACTGAATTATTATTTATGATACAGATCAAATTGATTAACCAAAATTTGTTAATGAAATCTTACTTATATGAAAATATTTCGTTAAGTATACTTTTATATGTCCAATTCATTACATCAGTCTTTTAGATAAACTTACAGAATTTTTGAATGATAATTAAATTCAAAAAATATGCTTCACTATGTACTTATTTAGTAAACTTAAATACAAACATTTTTATATACATTTTTTAAATTAGACAATATAAAACTAATTCTCTTAATTGAACAGACTCATAACACTATTTGGCAGAACCCTACATTATTTACTTTTACAATAATCTTGCCTATTTCAATGTTTGCCATAATCTAATGATAATAATACAATACTAATCAGAATAAATATTAGTTTAAGATTTCTGCATTTGATAACCGGTAAGTGCTGAATCACCAAAAGAAGTAATTGAAATACGAACATTGCGAACTATGTATTTAGATTGTTTTAATTAACTTTAAAAACCATAGAAGTTCCATATTAATAACGTCTGAACTGATGGATCAAATCATCATCTTCAACTTTTCTTACATTTTGAAATATTTAACTATGAATTACAATTTTGTAGGACTGTAACAAGTTCATTTAATTTGTCTAGTTTCTGTTTTAAACTCCTACTTACGATATATTTAACTATGGCACAATATTGTAAAAGAATATTTTTCTATGTTGTAAAAAAGATTTCCGATATACACTGTACATTACACTATTAATCTTACGTTCTTATTAAAATTATTTATTTAGATCAATTTTCAAAGATACAACAATAATATTTTTTATTTCCATGTGATATGGTTTGTACAGTCATTTGTTTGCCTCTTACTAAAAATCTGCACTGTTCATTAGAAAGCGTATGACTTGTCAGTTGTGGTTATAAAACTACAGGAAACAGTTTCCATGTGATCAATCTGTAGGGAGCGAGCGACTAAAAATGAACCAGTAATGACCTAAACTGGAGAGTGTGCAATAAGTCAACCAATTCCAATAATAGTCAAACTCATTAATTAATTTCACTTCAATACAGTAGCTGCTTATTCCGCTTACTTAAGTTAATTCAAAGCGCTCTCTTGGACCACAATCAAGCAAACGAGCAAACACTAAACAGATTCTCTGCTCTATGGTATTCCACAATATTAAAAAAAAACTTGAGCAACTAGTCAAACCATAATAACAAAGACAACTGAGATACTATACACACTTGCCTTATTTTTGAACTGTGCAGAACTGTCGGCAAAGTGTAAAGTACCCTTTATGATCAATAATAAAATACATAAAACCTACTTGGAAACGCCAATTTAACGCAATATATTAGTGTTGTATCCTTCATAACAAACGTAATTAATCTGCAAGTTATATATTACAAAAGCGTCCCAACCACCACAGGCAAAACAGAGAAAAATGATCCAGGTAAACGATATTCCATTAAGATATCTATAAAAAAAATCAGTTCTATTGTTTGGCACGTCGGTAATAATAATTCCTATGCACAACTACGTCCCACATTATAGTCTAGAAGTCATTTTGGCATCATATGTTTTATGAACACAATACTAGTTTCAATTAAATTAACAATACATTGTGGTCATTTCTATGTAGTAGACAAGTGTGGTTAAGACACAATGCTGCCATTGCGCTGCAGGCCATTGTAGATACAAGACTTTCGTGCAACTGAAATAAACTAAAATTATATTGATAGGTAATACATGCAAGAAGCAGTACACACAATAAACAACCATAAACCAATTTTAATTAAAAATCTTAAATTTGATGTTGTGTGTTGCAATATGCATCACTTCATAATCAAGAATCTTGTTTAACTTGTAAAAAAAAACTTCACTTAAGGTTACCGAATTGAATGTTCAACCAAATTTTATATAAATTTAGTATATACGGGACTTATATCTAGAAATTTGTCGATGTTTAGTGTCAGCAAAGCGTCACAATAATGTGACATGTCAAGAATGTTCACAATGTTGAACAGCAATTTTAGGTTTAAAAATTAGGGTAAAGGAACAGGAAATTATATGTCTTCTGGTTTTGACTGACATTTTTAAGAAGTTTACGAATTTTTATTTATCCGCAAATTTATTTGAAAGAGTGGTAAAATGCACTCCTTGTTGGATGGGCAGTAAATTTTCTCATCTTCCCACCTTAATTCAATGTGTAAGGGCTGATTCTACAATGCAGGTAATATATGTATACCTAGAAAAAGTTATACCTGAAATAAACGTCAATGGTAATGTTGGTTACCATTGCATCAACCAATAGAATACAGGTCGCTATGGCGGTTATTCCAAGAATATCGTACTCTTCAAATAGTTGTAATTGTAGAACCGGCCTAGTGCAAATACGAGAACCTCGAGCTAAAAACTTTTTTTAACTGAGAACATCAACATATTGTTTTGCATTTTTGAATTCTAAGTGAAATTTGAGTTAGCTGGATAGGTACTATCTACAATTTCTGAGTTTTTACAATACTTTTTGTAAAATGATGAAGAGCAGACTGAATATAAAACTTTACAGGAAGTGTCGTACAGGCATTCCTATGCAGTCAATAAAAAAAACAGAAATAGTAATAACTAATACCAATAAGAGTTTATTGGCCAACAGAATAATTTCCATTAAACGGTAAACTCAAATACTGAGGCAAAGTGCATCAAAAATAAACCGATACAACAAAATATCGAAGGATCCTCAGTATTACAATCACTTTTAACGACAATTTATTTTAATCTTACATAATACATTTTATAGTTGCATCAAATTCAGGTCTTGGTAATTGAGATAATGCTAATCTTGTTCCCAGTGATATCTGTGCAAGAATAACGATTTTGATATGCTTTGATCAAAATCCATGTGTCGCCAAAAATAGATCAAATTCATGTTTTGGTCATTGAGATAATGCTCTTTGTCTTTTTCCAACGAACTTGGTGCATAAAAACGATTTTGACATATTTTGATTAAAATCCATGTAGCCTCAGAAAAATAATTTAACATCTTTAAATCATACACATGTGGTTATCAAATATGCACGTGATGTACCTATCCTTTCAGCATCAAGATAATGTGTTTGAAAGTGTGTGTAAAAAATAATTTTGGGTACGCACTTTGCCTAAAACCAAAACCCAGACACACTTAGCCTTTCTGAAATGAAAAAACAAAACAAAACGCCTTTCTTTAATTTTATTCTCAAACTCAATTTGCTGTGTCACACTAAAGCCCGTTTGTAACGATCACTTATTTAGTCAATTTTTAAATAATTTTTTTAGGAACAAAAAAATTGAACATTTCATACAACAACTTTGATCAATTTTTTGGTAGTTACTTTAGGAACTGAAAGTTGTCCTATTTTTGTAATGTTTAGAACCTGTCCTATTTTTCCCTCAATTTTTTTGTAACTTTTGACAGATTATAAGGAATTTGTAAATTTAAAAATAAATTTATATTAATTTTTAAAGTTCACTATAATACGTTGACAGTAGATCGAGACCTTAGTTTACAGAAGATAAATATTTAGTCTCCAGATTTAATATAACATAGCTTATGTAAATGTTTACATTTTACTGGTACTAAAAAATTGACAATATTATGGAATGTTACATACAGTTTCGTCATTTATGACATTTTTAGGATAGCATTATCTTTATTAAAGTAAAAAAGGACTCAAAATTTGACTAAATAAGTGATCGTTACAAACAGGCTGAACAAACCAACAATGATTTTTCTTGAAAATCTATTTACCAACTGCAAGCTCCTCTCACTGGCCAAGTCAAAAATATCAAGTCTGATTTTATCATGAAATCAATTTTTTTCATTTAAATCTGAAAAATATCCACACACACGTGACATCAGTAAATAAACACAAACTCATAGATTTTGTTTCCAATTGGCATTACCATTACCAGAAAAAGAAAGAAAACAATAAATGACATTTCCAAAACGCCAATCAGACTCAAGATCTTCAATTAGGGAAGATACAAAGTTAACTGCAGTCACATTACAACCTAAATTAAAGGTTCTTATGGAATCGTGTATGACCTTATTATGTGCCAGTGCAACCAAATGTTTCTGTATTTACCTCAATCAGTAGAATTTTAAAAGTAAATAAACCAACCACACTGCATAGGTGTCAACAAAAAAAATCATAAAAATACTTTTAGTACTTTGCTAAAAATATATAAATTACAACTCACATCTCTACATATTATTCTCTTTCAACGGACTGTCATTCTCTATACGCATCGCCGTAGATGTGTTTTGATATCGTCTCAGCATGATAACTCGTTCCATAACGCACGACGCCGATAATCTAGCTTCTGCGTCGTGATCCCAACATTCCTCCATTGTATCGCAAATGCCGGCCAATCCCTGAAAGTATAGATTTATATACGTAGCCAATTAATTGCAATAAATTACCGGATGATTTCGCCAATTTTGTTGAATAGTAGGTCGTACTTTGCGTTGAACAACTGATTCTTGCATATCTTCCAGTGTAGGATGCTGTCCCACCTCCTCCTCAAACGGTAATCTATATTCGGATATAGGACTATCTTGCGCAGTACACCTTGAGACAAGTTCCCATAAAACTAATCCACATGCGTACATGTCAATTCGTAGAAAGGCGTCTGATGTAAAATTAATAGCTCCTTCCAGTACTTCAGGTGCCATATATCTAAAAATTGGTACGATGTATCATTACCCCATGTTAGTGTGAAATTGTACCTTCTCGTGCCAACTTGACCATGAGTATCACCACAGGATTTTCCCGAATAGAATATCAAAGCTAGGCCAAAATCGGCTATACAAGCGGTCATGTCATTTTTGAGTAGTACATTTTTACTTTTAAAATCCCGATGTGCAATTGCTGGTTTTACCAGCTGGTCCGACAGTTTTCCCTGAACATCCTCATGCAGATGCATTAAACCTGAATAAAATCTGTTAATTTTTAAATTATTGTGGCATATTTTACCCATAGTCATGCTCTCTGCAATTCGACAAAGTTCCAACCATGTAAGAGTATGGGCTTTTAAAAAATCGCACAAAGAACCTCTCTCGTGATATTCCGTGATCAACCAAAATTCCGCCTGAAGATTATCGCCTCGTTTCTCGACACCGATGAACTGAAGTATATTTGGATGATCCATATACGGCAGCTTGTAAATTTCCTGCTCCGATAACCAAGATTGTTTATCCTAAAAATGGTTGTATTTTATTGTGCGCACACCCCTGTAAATACGTTACCTGTATGGGAAACACCTTCACTGCGACCTCTTCTGTCTTGTGATACGCCTTCCAAACAGCACCAAATCTACCTCGTGCCTTTATTTCCACCAACTGTATAGGTCTTAAATCGAGGTATGGAGAAGGTGGGGGACGAGGATGAGGTTCCATACTTGGCAGCTGAAATATATATTTTTGTGTTCAAATATTTATTATCACTCAAGCGCTAAATATGATTTGCATAACATTCTTATGTGCAGGTTTATTATCATTGAGTTGGTTTTGCTTTCTTCTTTAATACTTGGAAGAATATAATAGAACACCAATGAATAACCAAAACAGGAACAATCAAAAAGTCCACGTGGGCATTTGATTCCACACAGAACTCTATTTGCAATATCCCCATCGCGAAGTGGGTAAGTAAAAATTGTTGCCATTGTCCGAATTCGGCGTTTGAGTGCAATAGATACATTAAACTGGTTAACAGTTTGTTTGCAATTTACTTTTATTTCTCAACTAGAAATAGATAATTCAAGTCAATCTTATAAAACATGCACAGGCAAAATTGATCTGAAAACTGCATCTGCAATTAACAAATACTGAATATTTGAATATTTTATACAGATGTATCTATTCGAGAAAAAGGTAGTCTTAGGGACTATTACACAACAAAATATTTTAGTGCGAACGCCAGATTATTTCTAATCTGAGTGTCAAGGCATTTGATTGGCTGCATAGTGGCCGCGTTTATTATTGGGTAGTGTGAAAATTCTTAACCAATCTCGTTTCTTAACACCAAGATTAGGACATAGAATACATGGAAATCAGTTGTCCCACTCCCACCACTTTCCTGTTCCAAATATATATGCGGGCATGATAAACTTGTAAGGAAATTGCAGTGGTTTATTCAGTGCCGTTTTTAAGTTTTTCGGGGCCCTGGGCCATTCGTTCGTGGAGGCCCTCCTTACCCTCAATAAAAACGGCACAATGTTTGCATTTTGTGACGAAAATGACCGGACTTTTATTTTATTGAATTGTAAAGTCAATGTCTTACCCATGGGCAAAACCTCAGTGTAATACCCTACTTTAGGATTTTTATCACTTATTAGGACTTTTTAACTTTCTAAATGGTAACCTTATACAGGGTGGTGACTTGCGTAACGCATTATAGGGATTTCAATGTAAAATTCATAACATGCGATTATTGTCTCCCCAAATTATTTTAGAGCAAAAATGTATTAAAGTTTTTTGTAGACAACATTTTTTACGCCGTCTTAGTTTTCAATTTTTTACCTATACAGACGGAAATTGGAAAAATAAAACCCACATCTCTTTCAATAAACTGCGATGCCATGGAATTTTCTAAAACAAAAAGATATCCAGTTATCAATTAGCAGCAGTTCGAAATGGATTTTATGATCGACTTTTTGATAGAATTCGATTTGTTTTATGCAGACATTCCATGGCATGACAGATATTGGTGTAGCTTTTGTATTATAAAATTCCATGGCATCACAGATTATTGTAAAAGATGGGGGTTTTACTTTTCCAATTTTCCGTTTTTATTATGCAAAAAATGGAAAACTAAAAAAAATTATAATTTCTACAAAAAACCTTACTACATTTTTGCTCTAAAATAATGTGGGGAGCCAATAATCGCATGTTATAAATTTTACATTGAAATCCCTATGATGCGCTACGCAAGTCACCACCTTGTATACACGATCTGCAGGATTTTAGAATTTCCGGTATCCCTTACTCTATGCATTAATTTTGTTTAAATCTGCATTTACTTTAAGGCGGCAGATTTTGCACTAAACTTTTTTTCCTTCACACAAACTGTTAGGGGCCCCTCAGGGGCCCGGGCCCATGCCTAAAAACGGCACTGGGTTTATTTATTTAATTTCACATAAATGTTAGGTCATTTTTTGTCTTATAATCAAGGATAATTGTAATCGACCCTATTTAAATTCATTTGCGATATAAAAAATTGTATATAAAGAAATTAAAGAAAGCATGTACCATCAACGACAACACTGTTGTAACACGTAAATATAACTTTCAAATGTCATTTTTCAATTCTCGTTGCAAAAATAAGATTACATTATTATACTTACACCCCACTTTGAAAGCACCAAAAAGAAAAAACATCAATTAGATAACAGAATGCGAGAAAAGATTTTCCTTTGTTTGCGCGCACATCATCAATTCTGTGTCAATACAGTGATTGCAAATGATTTTGCTTACTTGATGCAATATTATGTTGACACAAGAAGTAATAAGGACATGCGACACTTTGACTTGGCATATGTCAAATAAAGGTTGATTGAGAGAAATTGGTTTCTGTACTGAGATCTTTTAACATACGCAAACTAAGGAAAATCCTACTATATGCAAACATCTTTCAATTGGTAAAACAGAGACAAGGTAATCTTCCCTATAGATGGTCTATAGTTATTGCTTACATTCATCAGGCGAAGCGAGAGCGCTACCTAAAGCCGGGAATTCTCTAGCAAGATTTCTCGCAAGAGTTGCTGTCTGATAGTGTAAACGTGTAAGTACCACTGTACGTCCAACTTACGGTGGTATATACATCTCGACAGTGCTACCCAACAGCAACTCGCGCGAGAAATCTTGCTATATTCCCGCCTTTACGTAGCCCTTATAAAGCGCCTCATGTGGTGAACATAAGCATCGTATCATAAAATTGAGTAACAAACACTGTAAAAAAATAATCTTGCCTACTAAACTACTGTAAATACACATGTAATTGAAAAAGTTACTCATCATCATTAGATAACTTTTAAAACTTTAATTGACATGAAACATGCATTTTGATATTCATCAAAGCATCTTTGGATACACGCTTTCATCTCGGCAGAAATTACTTTCGGCATTACAACACTGACAACAAGGCGATTATTTAAAAATAAAACGTAAAATGACAGGACAATGTTACAGAGTTAATATTCTGTATATATTGTTGTTCATAGTTAGTAGTATGTTTTTTTTTGAAATATGAATTTAATTATTTTGTTGTTTAGTTATGTTAAGATTTTGAGTTTTTTTTGTGTTTCTTTCTTTTTCTTTTTTCTTATTACACTAAATAATTGCGCGTTAACTATTATGTATTGTCCTGTAATTGGAATGTCTGTTCTGTTGGGCAATAAATCTCTATTATTATTATTATTATTATAGTACATTTTTCAATTTAACTGTATGTTTTATACCATCCATATTTGACTATTTCACGCTGAAATCACGACTAAGAAGTGAACACAAATAACTAAATTATTAAAAGATATGCCACAGCACTGTGTCCAAGATAAGGATTTCTATCTTGGAGATCTCGGAGACTAGAAGATAATTATGAAGATGATCAAATTGGGGGAAAGTTGCGCAATTAAGGAGTTATTACGGTTATTGTAACTGTAAAGAAAATCAGAAAATTCGAAATACTTCCACAGTTACAGTTATGCCAGAAAAACCGAAATTAGTTTTTTATTTTTTTCTGATGTTATTTGAATAGATACAAAAAAATAAAATAACACTTTCTCATTGCCACTATTTGAGCTCTACAGCGAAATCATCAACTTTATTTTTTTATATGACCTGAAAAAAGAGTACATACTTAGTATATTGAGTAGTTTTTTTTTATTACAAATACAATGTATGGGACACAAAAAAAAAGTTCGAAACTGTTGGTTTTAACAAGATGGTACACCCGCGCACAATGCGTAGTTAAGTATTTATACCTATAGACCTCTCGCTAGGCCAGACGTACGAAAAACCGTAGTTTACAGTCGCAAATTGTTCAAAACAATCCTAACCCTTACAGCTTACTTAAAGGAATAGAACAATAGACACCAATCACCTAGAAGTCAGCAGTTCTCAAGAGAATATAAATATTAGGTACATCAATTACGATACAAAATTATGCTTGTATAACTTGATTAGTTTACAAATTTTAGACAGGAAAAAATTATACCAATTGTTATAATAAAACATCGGAAATGCTGGACACATATACATTACAATTATAACATTACTAATAATATACAATTATAAATATCTGCTTATCACAAATAAACATGAAATTCTGTACATTATTCATTGAATTGCTACCTGATAATCGACACGAAATAAATCCATATGAATTCATGCATCACTGAAATAATCCCTTTTAACATTGACTACAATAATTAGTATTATGTAATATTAGTATTATGGTACCAGTAGAAATCTGATGATATAATTAAGTTCTCAGGTAAATAAAAGCTTATTGTAGTGAAAATGATAACGATAATACTTGTAGCTTATTTTGTGCATATTTGTATATCATTACATTATATGTATTACGTACCATTTGAGTATCGTAATGTTTATAGCCCATTTTACAAACATACAATTGCCCTAACTTTACCATGTAAAGACATGCGTTAACTGATGTACCTAATATTTATAATCTGTTGAGAACTGCTGACTTCTAGGTGTCATTGGTAACTATTGTTCTATACATTTAAACAAGCCATAAGGATTGTTTTCAACAACTTTCAACCGTAGAACTGCTGTGTTTCCCTTTCATTGAAGATGTCAATCCAATAATACCGAGAATGATACCATTTCTCGCAATACTATTGGGAACTCCCCTAAGCGTTAATTAAAAATTTTAGCTTTCTCGCTGAATCCACTTTATTTAGAACACTTATTCCATGTTCCTGGTATGGTCCACCGCCCAACAGGCAAACAAAACTGAACAATATGCGCTACTTACATGAAACAATTCATTACACAACCAATAAATAAACAATATGTGAAATCTTCGCAACAAACATTTGATACTTACCTCATTAAAAACATGTTTGTGTCTTCTATAAAGCCAATAAACTACAAAACCGCCAATAACCCCCAAGAGAACTGCAATCATAACTATCCCTATTGGCAGATAAATATTATCCATCTGATTTGAAACTGGGTTTACCGCTAAAACATAGACCGCTCACATTTTGGCCAATGAAGTGCAATCCGATACAAACCTTTAACAGGGGTTGGTTCTGTGGGTGCTGGTTCCCAAGTGAAATTTTGGTTGCACATGTTTCCTTCACAACAGCAAAACAAATAGCTGTTCTTTGGTTTTTGCGCTCTTTCTACGCATGCCGTTTTATTATAGCAATCTTCGTTATTCAAGAAACATCCCTACGCAATGATAAGAAATACATATTTAATTATACTAGTGTTCGCCTTTTACCTTCAATGTAAGATTTAGGTTCCCATTCTCATCCCCTTTCCATACAACGTAACAGTGACTACGTTTACCATCACCTTGAGCTTCGCATTCTTCCTCTCTTGTACAACTCCTCCCTCCATCACCATTTGCTTCGTTACACATGGTCTGATTATAAAATTCGCAACGGGTCGTAATTCGATCATTAGAAACGCTCATCATTCTCACTAAAACTCTCGTATAATGAAAAGGGCCTGCTTGAATGCATTCATCTTACCAAAGCTACTTAAAAATAAAAACGAATAAATTATAAAATAGATTTTCTCTTGATAGAAAGTACATAAGGAACGCATTTTAAATTCGGTAGTCTAATTTTAAATTTGCAAAAAGGTTATAAGTTTTTTCTTGCGTGTTATTTTTAAAACACAAACATTTAGACAGCTTGTCCCAGGTCACGTATTTTAAAACACAAACGTCCGCATTTCTTGCTATTATTAGACCATACTTCACCTCTCTACATTCCGAAAACGGTACAAAAGCAAAATAAGTTTCCTCCAATCTGCGAAATCAAATAAAAACTTGTAATATTTTATAAACTTTTGCCTTTCACATATCAACAATTATTTTTTACTATAAAATACACATAAAAATACAACTTGCAGGTATTGCCAACCAAACCTCGGAACTAATTAAATAAAATCAGGGCACCAAAGAAAATACAGGGTGTTCTAAGAGCGATGTATCCTGCAATACAGCGCCTATCTATCTAAACACTGTTTTGATAAGTACTAAAATAAGATCAAAGAGGGGTACTCTTTGATAAGATCATTACATTTTTTATTTTTCATTTGCCTATTATATGTCAATTATATCTATCATATGTGATATATGACGCAGTCCATTACGCCCAAGGGCATAATGAGAGGGCATAATGGATTGTCATCTCATTATGCCCTCAAACGACCTGTCAAATTGATTGACGGAGTTATATTATGTCATAAAAAAGATGCAACTTGATTCGTATGGAGCATTTTAATGTTGGGCAAACAATAATCATGACATTTGTATATTGGAAATACATTCTTTGGAATGATGAAAAATAAAATGTTGTATGCACCTCAGGCATTACTCAATATTTAACCCTCGGGCGACTTACAATCCCTCGGGCCGGAGGCCCTCGGGCTCTCTCGCCCTCGGCATAAATATCGCCTTAATGCCCTTGATGCATAAATAACTATTATATAATTATCTTCTAAGCCTTTGGGAAGTTATTAATCGCGTAGACACCTGTCACAATACCTACTAGAATAAAACTGATTTTCGTTTAGGTTGTCTGTTTAGTTTACCACAGATATTTTGTTTGTAATTCTATTCTGCTATTATCAAATTTGAATATATATAACTTTAAAATATTTGCGATTCGTTTTCGGTTACAACCATGTAATCTGTCTCTTTTGTGATCTATAACAATTACGCTAAGCCTAAGAGGTTCTTCAGAGTTAATATAAATGCATTCGTTTGTTCACATTACTCAGTGATTCATGACCATTTGTAGCTAGTGTAAATTTATTTTGGGAAATTAACTTCAACCATTGTATATTGACAAGTACAATACTTAAGCTAAAGAATTGTTGAATATCGTTTGTTATAGAGGCGATTCCCAGTCTATTTATGCAGCCTTATATAGGAAGGGCACTGCTTCGTGGTTATTTTTACGAATAGATTTACAAGATATATATTTGCAAAATGTATATACAATCTACGATGTTGAACACGTCATTTTTAAGAGTTGGCAACCGCGTGATTGCTTAAATGAAGAGCAATTTTGAATTTACATTGTCGTTGAGAGTGGATTGTATAGTTTAAGTTTAGATCTAAGGTTTAAGTTTGATGTTTGTTATGTTATTTAATGTAGGTACTTGCATTTCTTTATAATTTATTTCGAGTATACGTCAGATAACGTATTTCTTCTTGGCCCAGTTCCACAAGGCACAGGTGAGGTCTTAAAACATAATGTACTGGATATCATCACCCATACCACAGACAACATAGTATGTCTGTGCCCATTATACTAATTATTTAGCAGAAACAATCACGGCAACCATCAGCAACAGATGTATATGATCAAGGTCAGTTCTTAGTTTTTTGAATCAATTTTATTTATTTTATTTTATTTTATTTCTAAAGACTAAACTAAATTTCAAAACAAAAGGATAAGAGCTATTCAAAAATTCTAAACTTTCCAGCATATTCCTTTCTAAAGGTCGATTCTCACGTACGCTGCTCCTCAGCTCGGCGACGCGACGCGATATGCAGCGCTGCATAATATTCGGAACCGACACTTTTGACTACTATGACGATGTCAACTCCGTTCGGTTACAACAAAAAATTACAAAAAGATCACGCTCCTTTTGCTCGGAGTTTTTAGGGCGAGATCGCAGATATTTTTACATAACCTTAAATTTAACTTTGTTTTTGCCTTTTATAAACACAAAATGGAAGTTCTATTACAAATTTTTAAGCGATTATTTGCTAAAACGAATCATACTTGCGTAATCAAAACTTTAACAAAATAAAACCCACGTTCCAAACAAGAAAGCAAAACACACCTAACCTATAAATGGGTGAATATAAACCAAGTGCATCAAATCCGTTCATTGAGTGAAAAATGTTAATTCACGAGATGGTTAGTTTATCCCACTTAGGGGGTTTTGGGGTGACGGGCTCAAGCTCAACACCTCAGGGTTTGAGATATTATTAAGACCCTTAAAACAAAGTACTTTGCTAAATGTTAGCTTGTCTCTAATTTGTTGAACGTTGCCCATATAAAACGATGGATAGGCCCTGTGCTATTTGCAGTGTGGAATAAAGTTTGAACCTAAATGGAAAGAGTGGTTCTAAGGTTCTATAATCACCAATGTTCTATTCAAACCTGTGTGCATTAAGCATTTTAGGTAGATTTCTATCTCCTCTATTGTAATGCTAGCATATGAACCGATTTCGACCAAACTTTAAGATTTGGTGTTTATAAGTTCGTGAATCAGCCAAGTCCGCCATATTGGACACTCTTATATGTTAATGCAGTTAAAGAATTCTACCTACATCTGATGACAATATATTGGCATGATTTTGTTGACTGCAACACAGTATGAACAGATTTGAGCTGGAATTATATCCCAGAACCACTTTTAAACGTATGATTTTCAAAAATGAACCATATCTTTTCTCCTTAATAAATAATTTATTTACAGTTTTAGAAATAAAGAATATAAATAATGTGGTAATCAAACAACAATATAATATATTTAAAAAAGACAATTAAGTTGATTCTTGTCCTGCCTGTGGGGGAGCGGGTTGTGGTACTGGATCGGGAAAGTACATTCCAATTAAAAAAACTGTAAATATACCAGTTATGGCGACTAATGCAACTGTTGCTGTCACATTGTATAAGTGTGCATATTCGTACCTAGAAATACAATATTATGTACTATCTAATTATTCTGGTTACCTACTTACCTGAAGTACCATGCTGACCCTATTATAAAACTAAGTAAAACAAACAATATGTTTCCCAAATCCCAATCTCTCCCTTGATTACTATTTCTTCGTGGAAGACCGTTAGTAGAATTTCTCGTACTAGTAAAGCTATCTTCATTATTATTTCCTTCAGTATGTGTATTTCTCTGTTGATGTATTAAACAATGTACTACACAATTGTCAAATAATCCACAGCTCTGCAGCGTTTCGGTATCCGGTTGAAGAACTTGACCATTAAATATAAGCCTAACCAATTTATTTGTTGAAAATTCAAGATGGAAGTGTCTCCTACAAATACCAGGGTATTGTCACAATCAACACAAATTATTTATACTTTTAAATACCGTTTAAAATCTCCTAATTGTTCTTCTAACCGCCCATTTACAAGTTTTAATTCGTCATTTAGATATTTTAACTTAATACGAATATTGGAATCACTATTTTCATTGGTAGCTGCGGCGCACTGCTCAGTTTCAAATTTACTATTGCTTGGCTTTTCCTCGTTATCGTTATTTACACTTATAGGATCACGTTCTGCATAATTGTGCTCCATTATGGAATCATTTATGGTTTCGACTGAGTTATTGACATCTCTGTCTACCGTGTTTTCGGACGGTGGATCACGGGCAACTTCACCACTGTGCTGTTGACGATTCTGACTAGCATCTGTTAAAATGAAAAATTTCTATAGTTCTGAGCAACCTTGACAACATTGCAAATCTTAAGTCGAACTGATGTTACTAACGAGCTTATTATATACCTAAATTTTCATAATACGCTAATCGGCGACTTCTAACTATATTTGTATCGGCATCCATTATTCTGACAATATCAGCCAATTCTTCTTCCTCTGTGTTCTGTGAACTGCCTGATGTTTGTGTGGAGGAAACGCCTAAATTACTTGTGCTACTGGTTGTGGCAACTGGTGGTTTATTGCCTTCCAAATTTGACGAGTTTGTTTCTGCACTTTGATTATTAGCTACAGGAGTGGTCGGTTCTTCCATTCGTTGATCACCTACATGGTAAAATGGCAATCTAAATAGCTACTGCTCAATTACACAATTACCTTCTACAATTGATGAACTTTGTATATGTGTAGTTAATCTAGACTGATGTATACGTCTACGTAATCTTCTTTCCAACAAAAAAACTGTCCGATAATGAGGTTGTTCCCTAATATTGGTTGACCACCAAGCAAAGCACACTAGAAACGTTTTATCTTTAAAATAAGAGTATTCCATGGTGAAAAGAAAAACATACCAATAGCAACAATTAATATGGCAACAAGTAATTGTACGAATAAATTACTGAAGTCATCTGTTATTAACATTTTAATGAACCACATACAAAACATTGAGGAAACCTGTTAAAATAAAACTGGACTTTAGCATCTGTTAGACCGATTGATGGCTATCTGGTGATATAGAGACTTTACCTACGCTAGGAATCACCCCGATCAAAAAACATTATTCACCGAATTTGTCCAATATTTAATAAAAATGCCGATTATCGTATCACCCACCATTGACATTTGTTGCTTTGCCCTGCATACATGCGCATAACAACAGGTGTCGCTATCCATTCCTTTAGCAATTTTTATACAAAGTTCGTGAATAAATTTATACTTTTCCTTTCTTGCAACAATAATCTGAAGCCGTTAAACTAACACATTCGAATCATTTTTGCTTAGAATTGCAATGGACAAATCAGAAAAGCAATTGAAGATTACCGAGATATTCAACGAAATAAAATTTTTTATACCCTGTATATTTTCACACAGTCTGGAAACAAATTAAAATTTTGAACAAAAATTTTAACTTTATTCGATCTTTATTTTATTTTTTAATAAGTAAGTATTACGTTTGACTGTTTGAGGGACCATTTTAGCAAAAATATAAAAAGAACCTTAATTTAGAAAACAACAACAGAAACGGCCGTTATTATAAAGCAGTATGTTGTCAGGCTAACAATGTTGTTAAGACATGTGATTGGAGGTTTTTTCAAAGAAGAACATCATTCTAATTAACTATTGTTTTGTTTAGAAGCGCATGGGGGGCAAAATACGATATCAAGCATTGAGGCAACTTTTAAGTATTGGGATTTCTCTTTGGGATGTGGGGCCAATAGGTTGGAACCTTTTCGTCTTCCCCTCGCGGCGGCTTTCAATGTTTTAAATACAATTGAGATTAGAGAAGGGAACTTACCATCCTTGAGAGCCACACGGAGTCTCAAGATATAATTTGGAGGGTGTCAAAGGACTCCAAATCCACCGACTTATAAGATTCCAAATAAAGACAAATTGTGTAATGAGTGAAGGGAACTTAAGGCACTAAACGCAGTAGAGGCTCGATATTTTTGAGCGGTTTTATTTTAAAAGTTTTGCAAACTTTACTCGTAATAACCCCACACATACAATCCAAGTGGCGTTATATCTGCAGATCTAGGAGGCCAACCCCACGGACCTCTGGCCCCGATCCACCTGTCTTCAAAAATGTTCGTCAAAATCATATAATATAATAATGTGGGTTTTTTATTGTAGTACTTACTTATTTTCTGTGATGCTAAAGCAACAATATTCAAATTAATAATTAATATGACGGCCAGATCTGTATTTGTTTCAAGAAGTTATTTTGGTTGCATCAAATTAGGCGTCTTTCAGGACACGTTTTAACATGTAAAAGTAGACATAGGAAATTCCTATAGGAAATCCCGTGTCCACTTCTACATGAATATCACTGTCTTATGTCGTAGGCAAATAGTTATCTCAGACAAATGGCATTTTCCCGGGCAAATGCTGTCTGTCTGGGCAAATGACTTCAACAAAATAATAAATAATTTGTCATTTCCCTAGGAAAATAGCATTATTTGCCAGTTTGCATAAGGACTTTTTAACTTGTGTTACCTTCTTGCACCTGAACTAGTTCTTTATTTTGCAACTTGCGTTGAACCTAATCCCTGTTTACAATAGCAATAGGTACAATTGTTTTATACCGTTAAGTGAAAAATTAAGGATTTCTTATTCAATGGTTATATAATGTCCTTACAGCATAATTTTACCGCTTTTTTTCAGACGAAACGTTTGTGGTATCCTAGCTTTTAATTCCGAGGCGCTAAGCGTTAGCCGCCTTCGAGTTTCGACGTCGTAGGTCTTTTTATTTACTAATGCCGTTTTATTTATAACTTGCGGCACATCTCGCTTAAGTCTGACATATGATATTTAAAGAATAATAAGTATTCTACAGACCCCCATTGTTACACGACGCGTAAACGGATTAGCTCAATTTAAGGATGGCATTTTTGACCCTTGAAGACCATTTAAAGCATTTCCGTTAGCGTATTGTTAAGACCCTTCTGGTTCTTGTAATATCACGTCCTGTGATTATTTAAGTAAGCGTATAGCCAACCAATCGTAGCTTTACACATCCTGTGCGTCCGTCTATTTCATCTTGTGGGAAATTATTTCTCATGCATATTACGTTTTTTTAGTGCACTTTAATTGAAAATTATTAGAAAGGTTGTCGGACTACTATGTGGTAATTTGGTTGTAGAATATGTTAAAAAAGTTAAACTAAAATTAAAAGTTAAAATTGCGCTGCCAGAGTGGTTTTAATACCCTTATAATTAGGTAAACTCTGGTGTACGGGGGTATTTAAATAGTAATTATTGTTATTATATAATTATATAGTCTAACGGTCAACCAAAGAGTTCCAAAAATACATTTGCGGAGACATACAAAAATACTGTCGAATTTTAACAGGTGTATGAACTTAACTGGGTCATTTGCGACTAATTTGATTTAATCGAATTTCGTGCTCTTATAGAAAATAAGTTATTTCAAAAATTAGGTTCGGCGTCGATGTTGGAACTTCCATCAAACACACTTCAATTTGCTTATATTGCAAACGGAAAGTTTGTAGAAAAATAACGAAACATTCTCGAGGATTCTAAAATAAGCACATCCGCCTTCATTCCTTATCGCCGGTGACTCTCTCGATAGACTTGATGGCGCCTGGGGACCACCCGACCCTAAATGTTATGCCTAAAAAAATGATACCTTCCAGAATTCTCCACGTTATTATTGAAACGACTGATTAGCACATGTTCCATATTCTACTTTCACCATACTGTCATTCAATTTTTGTAGATGGGAGGGCCAACTCTTAAAATTACTTATTGTACCCGGTGTATAAAAAGGTATGTCAAAATATACAGGGTATTCCATTATGAAAATATTATTTTATTAAACATCCCGATAACCGAACGCTCAGTTTATTTTTCTGATTTAACGATGATTGTAGGAATTTTTGAGAGTCCTTCATACTTTCTAACTTAATCGACTTCATAACTCCACTAATCAGAATGTTGACAAGCCGGCACGGCTACTCTAATTTCGATGCGCGGCTACAAAAATTAAAAACCAAGACGACCAATATTAAGTTTTAATATATCGTACATTTCTCATCGAGTTCGACCTTGTTGCATTTTGCGCTGCAATGATCTACTTATATCTACGTTAAATTACATAAACAATCCTAATAATGCCGTGTAATGTGTATTTAGAATTTATCTCAGCATGTGACATTCAAGTTTGGACGAAAAGTACCTACTATTATAATATACCTAGGTAATATCATTGTGTATAGGTAATATACAATGGTATAATTGCATCAAGTGAAAATAAATAATCTAAGGTACAAGAGTTAAACCCCTCAGCATTTGTGGAATGAAATTGTGGTTATTTTTGTCACCCTTACGACTCCTATTGCCATTCAGATAAGTAAATGGGTATCCATATCTTTTCCTTTTCACTAACTGCCAATCAATGAAAGAAGAATGCGCCCTTTTCAAAGCTGACAGATTTGTTAGCATAGAGGGTTTGCATCTAATTTTAAAAATACTTACAGACTAACTTTGATCGATCTCTGAAAACGTAGGTACACTACTTCGGGATTTAACGTTGCGTTAAAAGTAATAGTCCGTCCAAATGGTCTTTTTTATGTAAGAAAATCGCGGAAGTTTTTTTCAACGGTTTTACATTTTTTGTGTGTAAAAATGAGTACAAACTCAAAGCAAGGCAAACCTGAATCGGCGCTAATTATTCAAAATGTATCTACAATGAGCAACGGGTGAGGGGCGATTTGAACTGAAGATAGAGATGCGCAACCAGTACCTACGTAAGACACAATCGCATTAGATTATAACGTTGAGTCAAATTAAGCCGCAGACTCGACTCCTGTATGCCAGTTTTGCCGGCGCAATGTAGCCTACATTAAGCATTTTAATTTGTTCCCTATATAGTAGGTACCTAGTTAAAATTCTGAACAACCGCAGTTTAGTTTCACTATACAATGTTTAGCTTGAATATCTTCAATTATTAAAATATTCCAGTGGTAATTGAACATGATACCTTCTGTCATTAATTATACACACCGTATAATCAAGGTTTCTATATTTGAATTTTTCATGATATGGCGCCATGGCGGCCGGGCTCAATTGTCACCACTGTCTCGTATAGAGTCATTGTAGGCACAATTGTCTTGTATAGAGTCCATGTATACCTGAATACAGTGACTTTTTCTTATTACCTAATTACAATGATTTTATAGAGACAGTGGCGACAATATTGCAAAGCTGATCAATGGATGAGTGCGCGCAATGATGGAATAAACTATGAATGAAACTTGGTCTCATGTCGAACGGCCAACCAACCGCAATGCATGTAGTACGAGTATTGCATGTTGCCTACTTTCTAATTTAAATTTTCAACACAACATGACGACTGGGCTCCTATTGTCGCCACAACCTAAATCTATTACCCGGATCCCACTGAATACCGAACGATTCTCGAAATCTTCACCCATCCATGATTTTTACAACTACGTAACTGAAAAACAATAATAACCTTTCTTATATTCGTAAGAGCATGTGGACTAATTTTCAAGTGACTATCGGACGTTTCTAAACAACGTTATGGTACACACGGACAGACAGACAGGCGAACAGACAGACAGACAATAATACAAAATTATAAACTATCTGGAAGATCGTTAAGAATAAAAAACTTCTTATTTCTCCACCACGGTTGTACAGGATGTTTGATTCTGCATTATGTGTAACAGCCAAACAACGAGCTATCTAGTAATATACAGAGTGTCACATTTGAAAAAAACAACCTTTTGAACTTGAAAATAATGAAATTGGTCAACTCAAGATAATTAAAAAAACAGTTGACAATACGTTCCTACCTATAATACGAAAACCTCACGTAAATGGAAAAATGTAAAAATGTTTTCGCCTTAAGGCGAGTAATTTTAGCGCATTTTCCATGAATTGATCAGTAGGTACTTCCTGAAAGATCATGTAACGGACGAATTTATGTGTACAAAGGAAAATAAGTTATATATATGGCATAAATATAAGAAACTTAGCATTGCGCCGTCTGCACATGCGCACATATAATTTTCACAAAATGTGATATGCTTGTCTTTATCTCCATAAATAAGAGAGTTGACATTGCGCAGTTTGCGCAAGCGCACGTCTGATTTTTACAATATGCCATATGCTTGTTTTTACTGGTACACCTTTTTGTTCAAATTTCAAAAAATATCTTTATCAATAAGAATTTTCACATTGCACAGTTTGCGCATGAGAACATCTGATTTTTATAATATGTGATATGCTTGGTGCCAGAGCTGTAAGCTTCCTAATACAAAAAGAACAAACTAAACATCCTGAGAACTGTAGGAGTAGGCCTTAGCCTCGGACGAACGGACGGATAAAGTGGCCATAATAGCGCCTTCAAACATGCGAGCTGGAAAATGCGCAAAAAAGTTATTTAAACGAAACGAACGACAATTTTTGAATTGCATGCCCTTTTAATTTGTAAAATCTCATTTCAAAAGCACGTTTCGATGTATTGGCATATAGTAGATTAGGCGAGTTTTGGTAATGGGAAAAATAAATAGCAAAGCTAATGAGTCTTAACTCAAAAGTTCTTAAATTTGATCTGTTTAGTTATTTAGTATGTCCATTAGGAAAAATAACTTTAGAGAGAGTTTAGAGGACGTGTGGGTTTCAGCGCATTTTGACGAAACTCGATATTTGATCATTTTCTTGAAAAGAGATGATCACCACAAGTAAATGGAAATGCAAGGTACCATTCTAGATATACCTACAAATACTTAGATAAACAGTAAAACATCAATTTATTTATTAATCAAACGTTTGTGCGGGTGATAACCGTTTATGAAGCAAAAGTATATTGGAAGCGGTCCATGATAATGCAAAAGAAAATCTAAATATATTTTGAGAGATCTATTTAAATTTATCGTATTGCTTTCGCATTAAATCACCTTCAGTAACTGTAGGTTTTCCAGATGTCTGTTTGTGATTCTCACTTTCTAAACCTGGACAATCAACACACATGCAATAATTATGAATTTGAATTTGCAGCATGCGGTTTTCCCTCTTCAGATATTCACGCTCTTCATTGATACCGTGTCTAATGGCGTCGGCCTGTGCAACTCTTTTCCAGAAAAGTTCTAAGCTGGCGGTTGCGGGGTGTTCTTCAATTTGAACCTCGTCATCATCGGTGTCGTATTTAGGAAACGGTAAAGTTTTCTCCCTCAAGGTTTCCAATTTTCGACAAAATCCCGCTAGCTGTTGTGCCTTTCTTCCTTTTTCTAGAATTTTTTTTAAATGCATCCATATGATGCTACTTTCTTCGGTCAGTAACGTTAAGTTTGTTGAATCGATTCTCTTATCATTATTCATGCGCCCTTTCAATGTAGTAAAAGCGTCCGAAAAGTACTGTTGTTCATTTAAAAGATCGGTAAGCTTCTGTTTTTGTGATTTTTGCGCTTGTGAATATTGGCGTTTGAGATTTTTTAATGCATCTTGCATACGTATCAGTTTTAAATTTTGATTCAAACATACCTTTTGCAACAGTTCGTCTTGTGATGCCAAAATATTGTAACTTTTCCGCCTTTCCATGGTCTGCTGTTCAAAATCATATAAAAAGAGTTTGATTGCTACCCAAAGGTCTGCATAGTTTTTTTCCAGTACCGCACGCAATTCTCTAATTATGTTCTTATACTTAGTCGATTCTTCATCTATTTTAGATAAGTATTCGCCCCTCACCCTCAGTTCTTGCTCTTTTTTCGCCGCTTCCAGCCCAAACAACATAGTTTTGAAATATTCATCCGCTTCGGCGGCGTTTCTTTCTATTTCCTCTACTTCCCTATTCGTTTGATCTTGAAGTTTATTTAAATGACCTTCGTTTTCAAATTTAAGTTCTTGTAAGTAATTGTTGAATCTATGAATTAGGTCATCTATATGTTCCGAATGACATTTTACGTTCGCAACATATTGTTCTTCGGCCTGATCTAGCTCATCTAATAAATATGAGATGGTGAAATCCTTGACATCGATAATGCGTTCGAAATTGTGCCAAGCGTATTCCAATTCTGATCGCATTCGGGGTAAAGAAATTTCTATTAACATTCGTCTCCATTTTCGTTCATTGGACTTTAAAGTGAGCCGACCATACTTTACTTCTCTTGATATCTCATCGTGCTTAATTTTTCTGCGTTTAAATTCTTCGTCACGTTTTTTTTGTTCCTTTTTTTGAAGCTTTAGTGCCGCCTTCTCCTCGGGTGATAGTGGCATTTTTTAGGAGTATAAAAGGATGTCAATTATTAGTTGTCAAATAAAAGATAAAAGCCACTCATTAGAATTTTAAATAGGGTGCTAAACTTTCAGTAAAAGGTGGATTTACATGCATCTGTCCTGTTTTATAGACATTTTATAAGTGGGGCCGCGGAACGCTATTCTGATGATTGTGATTGATGGTTGATTTGAAAAATCTTGAAGAATGAGTCTATCTTGTGGTGGAAGTGGTGTTTCCTTAAATACTGGAATCAACGCTACAGCTGCTGCTGCTACCTGTTAGTTTTCGCGACGGTAAAAAGAGCGTCCAAATTCTTTTACGCCAAATCTCGAACAGTGAATCCTATTCGTTTTCTTGAAGACGCAGTCCGTCGGTTTCGAAATAAAGTGTGCAGAAGAAGACAATCAATCTTAATAAAAGATTTAACTTATTGTCAAGTAAAGTAGTGAAAGTTTTAAAACGGCTTGCCCGCATATTCAGTCAGCTGAGTAATGTCTTTCATTAAAAGTTTCTACCGTCCGAGCAGCCACCAAAAATTTTTTCATCTTGTTTATCTAACGAGTCATTGAGTTCAGTTTATGAAAGAAAAAGTGATATTTTCTGAACCTGTCGGCGAGTGTTTTTGTGTCTTTCATCAGTGCGCCTGAATATCGCAAACCTTTCACGGCCAGATTATTTATATTGTATGAAAGAAACTGTAAGTAATTTTGAGATTTATTATTTTATTTGTTGCACAAGACGCTATATATTTTCCGGGCGCCGGTTTCCTTGGTAAAATAGGTACGCCATTGGTGAGTTTTCAAGGACGATATTCCGGAGGTGAATTTGTTGCAATTCCTATGATTGAGGAAGCGGTAAGCTGTAAATCACACTTTTAAAATTGTTAATAGTTATGCAGGGTGAACATTTTATCTGGAACACTGGATATCTCTTCAAAACAAGATGTTTAAAGGAACTTTTTATGGTTACCAAAATTATAAAAAGTATAAGGTGTCTCAATACTCAATAACACCGCCAGAATTTTAATTTAACGCCATTCTAATTGGATTGCTATTTGCTTGTCCAAATCTTTGATTTTGATTTTGAAGTGTTGAAAATCTATTTTTTCAACAGACAATTGTCTAAGTCTAAGTAATAAAACAATATCAACCAATTTTTTTAATTACCCCAAACTATAGAGTGAGATAAATAAGTCGCTAAACTTTACGGTAGAAAAACTGAACTTGGTTGTGTACCTATAGAAATAAATTATGACTTATGAGTAGGTACGCAAATCATATAAATTAGTGCTATAGAGTATAGGTGTATCGTGTATCAGTATAGGACATACTTTCATTATTATGTAAGTGTTGTTATTGAGTAATGTTTAAATAAACAAACGTAGATAAAATCGTTATTTGCTTTTTTGCAAGACGGCATTCGCATAACAAAAGCACGGTCAAAACGAACACACAAACGAGAAACAAGTTAAAAAGTAATCGTAAACGATTTACATAAAGCGCATTTCCACTTGCATTCATTTCCCATTTGTAAGATGCAACTTCTGTTAAAATCGTAAAAATCCGCCCACAAATATGAAAGATAGCGTTGCACATGGGCAATCCATTGTTGACGTGCTACTTCAATTTCAGTTTATGCGAAGAATTTCATTTCAATGCTTTTCTAAATAAGAAAGTTGGAACTGCGCATGCGCAAACCTAAATTTTAAACTAATGTTAGATTTTCCTTTGTTCCAAGCGCCTAAGTATCAAATTTCACTTAAATAGTTCCATAGATAAAAAAAGTTGGCACTGCGCATGCGCAAAATAAAATTTTGAAACTGGCGCTAGATTTTCCTTTATTCCAAGTGCCTATGTATCACATTTCATTTAAATTCTTCCATAAATAAAAAGGTTGGCACTGCGCATGCGCAAAACCAAATTTTGAAATTGGCGTTTGATTTTCCTTTATCCCAAGTGCCTATGTATCAAATTTCGTTTAAATTCTTCCATAAATAAAAAAGTTGGCACTGCGCATGCGCAAAACCAAATTTTGAAATTGGCGTTTGATTTTCCTTTATCCCAAGTGCCTATGTATCAAATTTCGTTTAAATTCTTCCATAAATAAAAAAGTTGGCACTGCGCATGCGCAAAACCAAATTTTGAAATTGGCGTTTGATTTTCCTTTATCCCAAGTGCCTATGTATCAAATTTCGTTTAAATTCTTCCATAAATAAAAAAGTTGGCACTGCGCATGCGCAAAACCAAATTTTGAAATTGGCGTTTGATTTTCCTTTATCCCAAGTGCCTATGTATCAAATTTCGTTTAAATTCTTCCATAAATAAAAAAGTTGGCACTGCGCATGCGCAAAACCAAATTTTGAAATTGGCGTTTGATTTTCCTTTATCCCAAGTGCCTATGTATCAAATTTCGTTTAAATTCTTCCATAAATAAAAAAGTTGGCACTGCGCATGCGCAAAACCAAATTTTGAAATTGGCGTTTGATTTTCCTTTATCCCAAGTGCCTATGTATCAAATTTCGTTTAAATTCTTCCATAAATAAAAAAGTTGGCACTGCGCATGCGCAAAACCAAATTTTGAAATTGGCGTTTGATTTTCCTTTATCCCAAGTGCCTATGTATCAAATTTCGTTTAAATTCTTCCATAAATAAAAAAGTTGGCACTGCGCATGCGCAAAACCAAATTTTGAAATTGGCGTTTGATTTTCCTTTATCCCAAGTGCCTATGTATCAAATTTCGTTTAAATTCTTTTATAAGTAAAAAAGTTTGCAATTCGGCTTATAAATGGGCGAGATGCGAAAAGGGCACTGTGAATTTTGAATCGATTCGATTCAACTTTTGGCATTGCGTATTATATGGCTAAAGCTATATGCCCATAATGAATTTCATGCAATTCAGTTCATAACTAACGGAGATGTAAAAGCGATCGAACATTTCTAAACAAAGTTATCGTTCACACGGACAGATAGATGGACAGGCAGACAAAGGAACAGACGGAGAGACCAACCGACAGGCGACAGATAGCAATGCAAAATTATAAACGATCTCTAGGATCGTTAATAAACGGCAAAAGTGTAAAATTATGGAACATGTAAAAAACGGTTTTTTGTTTTTTTTACAATAACTTTTTTGTAAGCGGTACAGAAAAAATTCCTTCCTTGGTGCAAGACTCGACACCATAACGAACCAAATAGCGAAAAAAGTAGAACAATAGCTCTTAAGATAAAAAACTAGTAGCGTCTCAAAACGAGCGGACGGACGGACGGACAAAGTGGCCACAATAGCGCATTTTTTTTTATTTTTGTGGAAATGCGCTAAAAAGATAAATCAATAGAACAAAAAAGTTTCCCAAATTCGGCTCTATGTACATTATTACTAATTAAACCAACACAACGGTTTTAATTGCCTACGCGGGATGGGATTAAATTATGACCCTATCCTATAATTATAATTTTTAATTTAACCCTACAGTAAATTAGCAAGTATTGGTTGTATTCTTGTATGACTTTGCACAATGGTAAAGACGTTCTCACGTTGCATAATTAGTGAAGGTCGGTTATTTCTAATTAGATATATCTTGTTGGTTTTATCAATCATTCAAATTGCGCAATTCAAACCTAAAAGTAACTTCCCATAATCAACTAGCATTCCTACATAATTTATCTTGTAAAATATTTGTGTGTCGCAAAAGTAGTACGTGGATATAATATTTGATGATTGAGCGAGCTAGTTTTAGCGCATCCCTTAGGACTTTCTCGTCGTCAGCGTTAGCACTTGATGGGTTTTTTATTACATGGAATTTGGTCAAAATTGATTTTTTAGCATTTTACACATGCCTTCTACCAGCTGCGTGTCGAACAAAGCTACAGATGCTAACTTAGGTCTACATATTGCCATCCTTTGCTAATTGTAATGCTAATCACAATTCACACTTTATAGTTTATAGTCAATAAGCATTCTTTCAACAATGTCATTTTCTCGAGATCACTCCTATCCTCATGTACCCATTGTCTATTGAACACATCCTTCTTTTTCATCCCTATTGAGCACTGCTAAACCCTTCCAGCACCTATACTAGAAATTTATCAATTTTTTATTTGCACATGTTTCGTCCATGTTTCATATGAACATTGACTAATTCCCTATTAGTCAATGATATGAGTAAGTAAAGTACTCTATTTGGACACCTCATTCACTAGATGTTCAAACTTAAAGTTTGACCACACCAATAAAGACCCGTCTTGATCCCTTATTTGGGTTTAGGCGAATTTTTTGAAACAAATGCCCTTATGTTATAGCAAAGAGTAACCTTACTCTTTGGTTATAGTTTTGTCCGTCTGTTCCTCGTCTAACTCGAGAACGAAAAGAGACAGCGATGTCAAACCTTCGCTGATTGATTTTGAGCCTGATTTTAAGAATTTAAAGTCATGTTTCCGAATGCGATCTGAGTGCCTGAGAATTTCCTATTGAAAATCGTATGCGATTCTTCGTATCTTGTTTACTTTCCGACTAAGTATACATACAAAACGGTGTCAACAGTTTGAAAGATCCATAACAGCTTGAATTAAATTTTTTCTATTTCGGTGTCACAATGATGATTTTGTACAACTGTTTTCGGCCGAAAGACAGTGATTATAGTCGTTTTTTTTTGGTAACTCATCTCTTAAGTTGGCAGTTACTAGTTAGTACAAGTCAATGGTACAAGTAGGTACTTCCATGTTTGAACTTCAAAATGTCAGTCTTACTACGCTGCCAACCTAAAACTTAACGGCATAAAAAGTGTTCCCAACATAAAACATGTTAGTTCTAATGTTCCCTATAGTTTCTGATAATGGTTTTTTAAATTAATTAAAGCACCGAAATAGAAACAAGTTAAAAAGTAATCGTAAACGATTTACATAAAGCGCATTTCCACTTGCATTCATTTCCCATTTGTAAGATGCAACTTCTTTTAAAATCGTAAAAATCCGGCCACAAATATGAAAGATAGCGTTGCACATGGGCAATCCATTTTTGACGTGCTACTTCAATTTCAGTTT